GTTCCTCTGCCTCAGCCTCCCAAAATGCTAGGATTCTCGGTGTGCGCCACCAAGCCCGGCTTCTAACAGCATTTTGAAGCCTCTCTTCTCCATCTACTTTGCTACCACCCTGGACTCACGGATAATTTGAGCCCAGCACTCCACACTGATGACCCCGTGAGCTGCCGCCCACTGTGGCAGGCCCTTCCTCGTGCGCTGGCCACATCCGCCTCTGGTTGCACCTCAGGCTGCTGCCATCCAGTCTTCAGCCCGGAGCGCGGCCCTCTCACCTCTGCATCTATCCTCTCTTGTTTCTTGGTGATTTTTGCTTGCCTGTAAAATGCACTCTTTCTCGTTACATGGCTATCTCCTAGGCAACCTCCAAGCCTCTCAGCTCTGATATTAGCTCTCCTCAGTCCTTAAAAATTCCTTAAATTGAAAATTTTTTTTTATTCTTTTTTGGTTTTTCAATTTTTTTTTTTTGGGGGGGGACAGAGTCTCACTAGATAGTTCAAGCTGACCTTGAACTTACTTGTAGATGGACCCAGCCTCAAACTCATAGCAGTCCCCGTGCCTCAGCCTCCCAAGTGCTGCGATTACAGGCGTGTGCCCCCAGCCTGACCAGGCGTTGTTCCTGACACCAGTGATACCATTAATAGAACAAGCACTAGATGTATAAAGCAATCAAGAGGCAGGTTCTGCAAGGCACGGGATGCCACGGTTGGGACCATAGGCTTTGAAGCCGGATGCCTGGGTTAAAGCCAAGCAGGGCCATTTGCTAGTCTGGGGCCTCAGCAGGGTCATTCAGGTCTCCCATGCATTGGTCTCCTTATCTCCAAAGTGCGCAGATAGCAGACTGTATCACCGCAGCCTGCGAGGATCATACAGCTAACGCGTGCAGCGCGTGGAGCCGGTGTCTGGCAAATACTCCGGTAAGCACTTAATAAATATTAGCACTTTTATGTTGGCACTCTTCTGTGACAAGTCACTGCTGAATGATTGAGCTTCTTAGGTGAGGCAGTTTTCCATTATATAATTAAAAAAAGCTGGGGATCTGGTAGGAGAAGCAGTCTTAAAGGGATACAGAGGAATGAATAGCATTTGTTGCCATAACAAAGCTGTGTCTCGGTCCTGAGTGGGCCTTTAAGGGCCTCCAATTGACACTCGCGCTGCCTCCCTCTCAGCGGGACAGGCTTTGGCAGAGTTATTTGTGCAAAGAGGAACGAAGGTCAGGGGACTCCTTGTATTGAAGGCCTTACTTGAAATGAAGGACTTGGCTTCTGAGATTAAGGTTCAGCGTGAACCCCTGCTATACTTAATTCTCTTTTCTGTAAACTCAGTACATTTTTAAAATTCAGTTATGGGTCCCCTACAGTGTGGTGTGAAAACTGCCAACCCAGCCCCCACAACTGTAATAGATTTCTGAATGGCCTTCTTCAGCCCACAGGTGGAGGTCTGTGTTCCGGCTTGGCTGTTGGACCTAATCCTTGGATTAGTGTACCCTGGAATAATATGGCTTGAATTAACACATGTTAGAACCAGAGGGATTTAATATGTAAGTTGAAAATGAAAAGATTTTTTAGTAAAGCCTGGCATAGGTGTTGTTTCCATATGGGGGAAAGGGAGGCTGTGGGGATCTGAGGATTCTCTGGGTTAAATTGCATATGATGGATTAAATTAGGATTAAATTAGTTTTGGAAATTTTCTGGAAGCTCAGGCCTAAGTGTGTGATTTGATTCTCTCTAGCAATAATGGTTCAGTTTCAGTATAATCATCAAGTAGACAATGTCAGTTTACCCTGGAAGACGGCACCTAAGAGCTCAGCTTCCGTGAGCACCCTCGTAGCTCAGCCACCTGTCATGCCCACACCTATGTCAGAAAGCACTGCTTACAGAGGTAATAGCAACAGTGACACTAGGAGTTACACAGTAGTTACCATGTGCCAGGCACTGTGATAAACTCTTCAAGTTTATTTACTACATGACCCATTGGGGCCTCTTGTGCACCATTTTATCACATGGCATAAAATCACCCTTTTCTTTTTTCTTTCTTTCCTCCTCCTCCTCTTCCTATTCTTCTTCCTCCTTTTTCTTCTATACTGACGATTGGACCCAGGGCTTCCACATTGAGTTCCAACCCCAACCTTTTAAAAATATTTATTTATTTATTTATGTCTTTTTGAGGCAGTGTCTCACTATGCAGTTCAGGCTGGCCTTGAGCTCACTGTGTAATCCAGGCTTGTCTTGAACTTGCAACAATCCTCCTGCCCCAGCTTCTCCAGTGCTGGGATTATAGGCCTGCACCATCACACCCCACTTTTATTTTTATTTTGAGTCAGGGTCTTGCTAAAATACTAAATTTCCCAGGCTAGGCTCAGCCTCCAAATCCTCCTGCCTCAGCCTTTTGCAGCACTGGGATTATAGGTGTGTACCACCCTGCCTGGCTAAACTGTGGGTTTTTTTTTTTGTTTGTTTGTTTTTTAACCTAAATCTTGGGCTTTCCTCTTTGGATGAGGCTGTCATGGCAGAGGATTATGGAGCTTAACTTTAAATATGGGAAAGACAATTTATTTATTTATTTTTCTGAGTCATGCAGTAGGTTTTTCCCAGAAAAAAACCTGGGAACAGAAGGAAATGCCATTTCCTGAGTATCTTATATTTGCCAGGAATCACACTGAGAATGTGCTTTTCATTTAAGTCACAGAAATAAGTGGCAGAGACAGGGGCCTGGGGTTTGATCCATGGGCCTGACATGCTGGCCCCACCCCCTGGGCAGCTGAGATGGCAATTGAGACTGAGTGTGGTGGCACACACCTGTAATCCCAGCACTTGGGAGGCTGTAAAGTGGAGAATCTCTGAGTCCAATCTAGCAGTGAGACCCTAAACACCCTGTAGACCCTCCCCTAAACACAGGAAAAAAAGAAAAAAAAAAAAAAAAAAAGAAACTGAAGCTCAGAGTAGTTAAGCAATGTCTAGCATCACACAGCTGAGAGCTGAAATTGAGCTTCAGAGTCCAATCTGTGGGAAAGCAGTCACGTGTTCTTTGTACTTGGTCCAGGACACTGCCTCAGAAGCAGAAGGGAAAGAGGAAGCCAAAAGCAGAAGGCAGGGGCCTGCAAGACTACAGCAACCCAAGCAGTGGGGTTTGCCTGCAAATTAAAAGCATCATCACCACCACTAACTTCATCATCATAGGTGTTAGGTTAGGGCCAGTCACAAAATGGAAATATTAAAAACTTACATTTCTATTGCAGTTTAAGTGCATGTCACTTACCCAAAAAATTGATCTCAGGCAGACTGCATTTGTAATCGCCGCACTGAGGAAGGCTGAGGCAAAAGGGTCAGAAGTTCAAAATTCTACCTAGGTAGCTTAGTGAGACTGTTTCAGAATTTAAAAAAAAATTTTTTTTTAATTGTTTTAGTTAAGCATGGCTGGGGCCAGGGAGATGGCTCAGTGGAATAAGTGCTTCCCTGGCAAGCACAAGGGCCTGAGTTCAATCCCTGGTTGGGGAGGGGGGTAAGCATGGCTGTGCTCTGATAGTACCAGCTACGCAATAGACTGATGTAGGAGGATGGCTTGAGTGCACAAATTCAAGACCAGTCTGGGCAACATAGCAGGACCCTGTCTAAAAAAAAAAAAAAAAAAAAAAAGCTACTTTACCTTTGCCATATTCTTGGAAAGGGTAGTAGGAAGTAGAAAGAAGTATACCCTCCTTGTAGCTGCCAGTGGCCAAAGGTGAAAAAGAAGGAACAGCAGTGTAACCCCTGAGAGAAAGTAACCAATTCGGAACACTAGGAGTGGCTTCCTGGAACCTGGGGGTCCTCAAGAACCCTGGCCTCTGGCCCTGGCTCACCTGGAATCACTGAACTCTACACAGGCCTTTGAGGCCAGCCCCCTGCCTCTGGGCTGCACCCCCAGCTTGCTCACCCTCCTTCTGTTTTCCTGATCATTATTTCCCAGGCTTTGGCCTTGGGGTGGGGGGTGGGGGGGTGGAGGTCCCCTATTGATAAATCTGCTCTGATGAGGAAAAATCTGGGAACTTGAGAATGTCTGCATAGCTCAGAAGGTCCCTGATATAGAGTCTCTTCAGGCCATCAGCTAGAGATTTCTGGAAAAGGAAAGAAAAATTAAAGCAGTTTCCAGGTTATCTAACAGTTGTGGAGCCCTTGTTCATGCCTGGCAGCCTCAGAAATTAGGTGCCTAGCCCTCGAGTGTGCCCACTGCCTGCTTGCTACTCATAGTGAATCTAAACCCCAGAAAGTGACAATTGGTCTGCGTTAAATTTTGCTGCATAGAGAAGAGAAAAGGTCAGAAGAATCTAGAAACATATTTCACAATTCTTGGCTTGTTTTAAGGAGTCACTTTTCCTAAAGGTGGCAAACACTTCTGCTAGATTGAACTAGATCAGAGCTCTAGACAGACCCTCAACACTCGGGGACCCTGGGCGGATGGCTTAACTCTGGTAACCTCAGGGTCTCCATCTGCAAAAACCAGGATGAAAGAGCTCATAGGATTGATCTGTAAGGATCAGATAAGGTAGGGTGGGGGAAAGTGTTCCCAGAGGTACAAAGGGCCTCATTAATGTAAGATTATAATTTCCTTGTTAAAATGTGAAAAGCAGGGTGAAGGGTGGAGATACTTATTACATTTTTAGCCTTCCATAATTATTTCTTCGTATTTATTTTTTTGTGGAACCGGGGATTGAACTCAGGCCCTTGCATGGCAAGCACTTACTCTACTGAGCCATCTCCCCGGCCCCTATTTCTTCGTATTTATGAAGAGTTTTAAAATTATTTCACACTGGCTTTCAAATGGCATTCGTCATTATTTGCTTAGCACTAGTTTCTCATTGAATAGGTTAACTGCCAAGGTTAGACAGCAGGTCGGGAAACTAAATCCGAATTAGAATTAAGCACATAGAAGAGATACGGACTTTTCTTCCTATTGGTGAACTTCATGGAATGTACAGCAAATTTGTCTCCATATCATTTGTCACTTTGGTTAACTTTTTAAGTGAGACGAAAATCAGTTGTACATCCCTTTACTAAGGCGTTATTATCCATTGTATTAGAGGCTGCTCCCAGGAGAGTAAACTTCACACAAATCCCATCCCCAGAATATTCCAGAAACAGATGGGGGACTGGACAGCTTCACAGCTGGTGAGTGGAGTGGGTAGAGCGCTGGGTCTGGAGCCCACTTCTAAGTCAGACTTCGCCTCTGTTGTACAGCAAAACAAGCCATCATATTAAAAAAAAAAAAAAAAATAGAACAACAATGGCGGCTAACCCTAAGTGCCAGGCCATTTAATCAGCAAGAAAGTATTTTTGGAGCATTCCTTCACTAAAGCGGCCAAATGAGAAACTATTTTTTCTTTTCTTTTCCTCAGTCGAATGACACTGCAACCCGAAATCACAACCGTGTTTCAGGTTCCTGATGGTGCCCGCTTCCTCTTCTCGTTTGTTTAGTCACTGACTTGATTCCTGTGGGCACAGGCTCCCCGCGCCATTGCGCTGCGGGAGCGCCGCGGCCGCGGGTGCGCAGGTAAGCGGGGTGGGCCGGGTCTCGTGGGAGCGCGCTAGGGTCGGCGCCGCAGCCACGTCCGGGGGGCCGGCCGGGCGGGCGCGGGCTGCGCCGCAGCTGCGGACTGCAGGGTTTTGTTCCCTCTCCCGAACCCAGCTGTAGCACAGATCCGGGTGCGTTCAGATGAGCCGCTCGCAAGGAGCGGCGCCCGGGGCTCGGGGCCCGCGGGGAGGACGCCGGAGGTCAGCGCCCGCCCTGCCCGTGCCGCCCAGGTAAGGACGCCGGGCGGGAGCGCGTCCTCGGGGCTCGCCGCGTCCCACCTGCGCCGGCCACTCTTCCCCGGGACGCGGACCGGGACGGCCCCGGGGCCGCAGCGGCTCCTTCCGTCCCGCAACCCGGCGCGGGCTGGGGCCGGGGCGGGACGCGCGCCCAGGTGGAGCAGGTGCCACCACCGGGCCCCCTGCCCAGCGTCCGCAGTGGACGCGACTTTGTGAGAGGAGAGGGGGCAGCGAGTCGGTCTAGCGAAGCCCCCGCCTCTCCCCATCAGGCTCCCTCCCGGCCCCCCCGCCTTTGCTTTAAAATTTATTTAACCTTCAGCTAAGGTATCTGCGCTCCCCAAACAACAGGAATGCTGCACTGGCCTTTCGCCAGCGCAGTCTCAGCGAGTGGATAAAATTTCAGCGCAGATTTACGGGAAGTTGCCGGGCTTGGGAGTAAGAATCTGGTTTGGTGAGTTTAAGAGAAGGGAGTAGACAAGACAACCTTGCTACTGTGCGCGCAGGGCCGGGCCGCCGGGCGGGAGGGCGGCGCCGCGCGAGGGAGGAGCGGAAGGAGCGGGCCGGGGTGCGCTGGCTCGCCAGCCCCGTACTCGGCGGGTGACGGCTCCGCGCCCCACTCGGGTCCGCGCCAGGGCACTGAGCGGCGGCTGCAGGCGGCCGTGCTCCTCGCGGGCCGCTCCTGTCGCGCGTCCCCGAGGGCGGCGGAACGGGCGCAGTCCCGCCCCGGCTTCCCGAGCGCCGGAGCGCACCCGGAGCGCTCTGTGGCTTTAAGGGGCGCGGTGGGGAGTCGCTGGACACTCCTTATTTTGGTTTTACATTAAAAAGAGGGCGGCCGCGAAGATGTGGTAGGCTCCCTCCCCGCGGGGCGAGCGGCTGCTGGGCTGTGAGTGGCCGTCTCCGGCGGGCACCTCCGCAGCCCTGGGAAAGGTAAGGTGCTCGCGGCCCTCCCCGCGCCGGCCCTCGGTCTTCCGAGCAGGGACGGAGTTGTGAAACGTTTTTCTCTCCTTTTTTCTTCGCTCTTCGAGCCCTTGTGCCCCTCCTTCCAGCGCCTCCTCCAGACTCCGATATATTTAGTGGGAAGTAAAGGCATTTAGAGAAAGATTTTCAAAGCTTCAGCTTTTGGAAAAGTAGATACGCATGCAGTCAGACCCGCCGTGTTTCCAGTAGCGAAGTCCTTCCCCCCCCCCTTTCTTTCATAAAACAAGCAGCGCTTCTCCTCCCCACCCTTGAAAATACTTGACTGGGCGGTCCACAGGCACAGGTGATTCTGCAGCCTCCTGGGGAGCGGGGGCCGCGGTGAGTGCAGAGTGTTATTGAATTGTTAACCGAGGCTGAGGGGGGTCTTCCTGCGGCCTTTCACCTCTGGCGGTGACACGGGAGAGGCCTCCTACTTGTTTTTAGTTGAACATTCAATCTGTAGCAAAGTTTAGGGCCTCCAGATTTTGACAGCAGGCGCTAGATATTTAGGAAACCAGTGAAAATTGATGAAAATAGAATTTTTCAAATAAAAGGCTTTTTATAAAGTTAGGTCAAAGTACAGTGACTTCTGGGTACTGTCCCAAGGCATCTGGGGCTGTAGTTTCTTCCTGAGGCTTTTCAAAGTGACAGAGCGACCTCAGGGTACTTAGGGGCCATTATTGCTTTGACTCAAAATCAAGCGACTACCTTAGTATCTAAAGACTCACTTCTTTAGCAGGAATATAGATTACAAATGTGTTCTTTGAAAGTTTAAAGATGCAGAAGATTAGCAACAACACGGAGGGCTTGTCCAAGTTTTGAGTACAAAGGTTGGCGATTAGAGGCGTTTGGGAACTTCAGGTGCTAATTCCAAAAGGTGAAAGGTTGGCATTGGCGGTGGCGTAGAACTCAAACGCAGGTAGCTGAGCGCAGAAGACAGCCCAGGGTGGTAGTTTGTGTTGCTATGGATTTAAGCAGTCATCTGTCAGATTAGTAATGTGATGGCTTGGAGAGAAAAAGGAAAAGCCAGCCCAGTTTGAAAAGGAAGTCGGGCCAGGGAGAAAAAGGAGAAGATAATTCGAATTTTGTGCTTTTTGTTTGGTCATCTCCCCGGTGGCATTGTTCTGCTGTTTTGTCTTGTTTTTGAGACAGGGTCGGGCTATGTAGTTCTTGCTGCCCTGGGACCTGCAGTCATCCTCTTGCCTCAGCCTCCCAAGGGCTGGGATTTTAGGCGCGGGCCACTTCTTCTGGTTTTTCTCATGTTCAATTAGGCCTCATTGAGGTCTTAGGACACTACATCCTGGGAGATTGGGTAGTTAGAAATTGCTGGAATGCCTTGCTTCAGGATTAACTTTCAGTATTCAGCAAATAAATAAGCTGACAAGTCCAAAGACACCAGTCTAGCGCTGCCATTCACCTTCCTTACGAGATATTTGAGTTTGCTTCCTGATTTATATGTCTACATAATTATAGACATATAAATAGACACACACATATATTTTTGGCTGTGCTGTCAGTGCTAGGCTGTTAGGTACGCTGGGATAGTACTCTGTCACTGAGCCACAGTTTGCTTCATTTGATCAGGAGTGTTTCTCAAAAAAATGCCTTTGTCACAGGGTTTTACTATGTGTAGTTCAGTCTAGTCTTAAACTCATTACATAGCCTAGGCTGGCCTCAAACTCAGTGATCCTCCTGCCTCAGCCTCCCAAGTGCCGGGATTATGGGGGGTGGTCAGCACCACACCCAGTTGATCAGATTCTAAATATGAATTATTCTGAAAATTTCTCATCTTCTTAATTGTTGCCTTATCAGGAGTTTGTAGGATTGAGAACTCACCATCATCTTTCTAGGTCTAACAGTCAACACATTTTGTAATACTGTATCATCTGTTTGAGATGGGGGGGTCTCATTATGTTGCCCAGCCTAGTCGTGAACTGTTGTGCCCAAGTGATCCTCCTTCCTCAGCCCCTGGAACATATTTTTGATTTCCCACTGAACTAGTGTATTACATTTGCAAGGATTACACCCAAGCAGGTGGTGATACAGAGGAGGAAAATAAAGGCAGACAGAAGGAAGCCCCATGTTCCTGGACAGGCCATTTATGTGGGGTTTTTTTTTTGTTTTTTCCTCATAGGACGAACTCATTCACATTGAACCTTTCTTCTGGTTTACTAGTGATTGAACTAACTCTAGGCAATGATTTAAAGCAAGGCTAGCAGACATGAAATTATTTTCTTATAATGTGATTGAATTTGCTTTCCAAATCCTACTTTTCTTTTTCCTGTTTTCCAGAGCCTGGGGGTGGAGCCCAGGCCCTGAAGCAGGCTAGGCCAGAGTTCTACCCCTGAGCGGAACAGCAGCCCCCAAATTCTACTCCTGACTTCAAGATTAAAGCATGTGCCAAATGATGGAGCTTTAACTGTTACAGGCAAGCCTTTGCCTACTTCAGACAGGTTTTTACCTCCACATCTAAGGTCCTGTCCCCTAGTTTTTCAGGAGAGGCTGAGGTACTGGCAAAGGGGAGGAGATTTCCTTAAAATTGAGCCCAGGCTCAAATCCATGATTCTGTTATTCATCCTAAAGGATGCATAATCTTAACAACAACAACACAAAAAAAACTGACTCTAAGAGGGCTTAAATTTGGGATTCACAAGACTAGCAAAAGGCTGTGTTTTGTATGAATGTAGTTTGTGCGCCAAACTTTTGTGACGTTAAAATGAAGTCATGAAGTGCGGCCCAAAGCACTTGTCAGAATGATTCCAAGTTAAAGGTGAGGTTGGAATGTTCCAGCTCCCAGCTGATTAAGAGTAGGGTTTTCCTCTTGGGTGCAGACTCCATGTCTTGTGATGATGTGGATTTTCTGGTTGAGTATCTTCAGAGGTGTGTGTTCGTCACAACCACCACCTACTCAGAATTGTTTCAGAGAACAATTGGTGCAGATTTGCCATTGTGACAATGTGGAGATGACTTGGGTGACACGATAAGAGGCCTCAGATGTTCCAAGAACTGATATGGAGATCATAATAAGCCATTGTTCCCTTGCCACCTCAAGTTGTTGCAGACATCTCCTGCTGGCGAGACTCAGACGTGGCACCCTGGGCCTGGTGTGTGCGAACCGCATTTGCCTCCTCCATCGCACTGCTGAGCCGGTCTCAGCTCTGTCTCTGGTTGTGTTTCTCATTGTCAAGCAGCATCCACGGGGGGAAGGAGAGTTGGTGGGTGTGGGGAGGTGTCTTTCCCTTAGAGTTGTTCACCCCTCCAATCTCTTATCTTTTGCTCCAAAAATGATGTAGACAGCAGCAGTCTTTGGTAGAGGTAGACTGTGCAGCATTAAATGGCCAAGAGATAGGTGAACTCTGAATGTGCCAGTGCTGTGGTGTTGACCAGAAAGTTCACTGGAGACTCACGGTGCCCTCAAATTATAACAGGCGAGCTGGCCCCAGGGAAACCTGGCGACTGTGGGGATTTATCTGAGGTTCCCCCTGCCCTCCCCGTTTGTATGACCTTCTGTGCCACAAGAGAAATGCATTTGAATGGGTCCATGATATCATCTTTTGGTGCAGCCAAAGTAAACCTATTAGAGAAGGCTCAGGCCCTTCATCCCGCTCTCTAGCGCCCTCTGCCTTTCTTCTGTTTTCTTTCAGCAACTCAAGGACAACTGAAAAAAGTTGTAGTGAGATTGTAACTTACATCTACAGTGTACGCACGCTTGCTGGTATGGTGACGCATACCTGTAACCCCAGCATCCTGCTGTGTGTGCTTGAGGCTAGCATGAACTGCGTAGCA